ACGTAGTTTATGATCAGGTGCTAATACCGATTGATCAATTATTTGTTCTGCTTTCAAATAGTAGTCGATAGCTTCAAAGTCTCGATCTTGATAATCATACAATACCCCAATACTTATGTATGTCACAGCTAATTGTGGATGATTTTTAGGCAATACACCTAAAAAAATTTCAAGAGCTTTGTGTATGTGACCGAGTGTTAGTGAAATATTCTGCATTGCATAATACAAAAGTCCCATATTCATGTAAGTCGTAGCGATCGATGGATGACTAGTTGGAAGTACTAGATTTTCAATTTTTAGTACTTTCTGATATAATTTAAAGGATGTCATCAGTTTACCTTGCCGTTGAAAAATAGTTGCCATACCATTATAGATTGTACTGAACAACTCACTACGTGCATCAAATACCATTCCAATATTACTGTGTACAATAGCAAACCATTCATCATGAAATCCGACCGGCTCTATTAATTCATTGATAGCTTTCTTATAATATTTCATAGTTTCATTCAAATAGCCTTGTTGTCGATAGATTTCGCCGAGATTATTGTAAAGAACTCCTAGATCTATATAATCTAATGGTAATTCGACTAGTAAACGCTGATAGAAACGTTTGGCTCGTTCGAAATCGCCAATTTTCGATAGAAGAACACCAAGATCAAGAATTGACGGCTGTTGACCAATAAGCCGTGTAAAATATGTTAACAAGTCCTCTACTTCTTTCTTAACTTCACTACTTAAAGTCAATTTTATTAACCAAATGTGATCTGTAAATAATTCCACTTATTTAATACGAAAGACAGAACCCATCGCAAAGAGAATTTCATTTTCCTCTTAATTATCGCTGAAGTTATTGATTTGTGCAAATGGACGTCTTTTCACGTTAAGATCAATGTCAATTTCAAAGACAACAGATCCAATACCCATAGACTGATGTTCACCATTGCCAGAAAAATCGACTGCAACTGAACATGATGTTGATATTGAGAAAAATGTATTAATTGATGTAAGACGACCTTGATTAATTTTCAATTTTTCCAATTCTTGTGCGTTTATTTGTTGACCACAATAAACAGTTAGTTTGCCTGTTTTTTTACCAAATTGATCTTGATAAAGTGTAGTCAATTGTTTAAATAAATCAGTTAGAAAATAATGATAATTAAAAATTGTATCAATATATTGTGTACCAATTAACCCTTAAAAGCCCAAAGACCTAATCGCCACAAATTGAAAAAACTAACCACTCAACTAGAACTTCTAAGACCCCAATAAGAATTATTTATAGTAAAAAAGAAAAAAAACTTTTTCTTACGGAGATATAGAATGCCCCTTGGAAGGGACATCGGGTCTTAACGGTCCAAATCTTTCGCTGTTCTTAGTTTATGTGAAAAGAGTTTTTTTCCACCGAATACTTCTCTTCATGTATTTTTTGATACACGAAGGATCAATTGAAGCAATATTTCGCAGTTTTTCAACATTTACGCATTTTCTGTTTCATTATTATGCTTGCCCATGGGGTCATCCAAGTATCGGCGAGTCAATATTAGCTATCAGAAAACGATCATTTTATACTTGCGCTAGTGGTTTTACTTCACCGACGAAGTAGTTATTGAATGCTCTACGAGAGTAGAACCAGAACTATCGTGACGGATTCAGAATAAAAGCGAGGCTGGTATCTCCACCACAAGTGAAGAGAATTTAAGGATCATCTAAAATTTCCGACAATTGGAGGGAGTAGGTGTCCTCTCCCTTGGTTCTACGCTCACGACAGGCCTTATTAAGATCAAAAACAACCAAAAAATCACTCGAATATTACTTTCACAATTCTTAGACTGTTCGGATATTTTGGCCAGTCATGGCCCAATGTCCCTTCCAAGGGACATTTCCTTTAAGACGTCACAATGCATCACTAGACCAATGAAAACATTGTGAGATAGTTTTCTACGATAGTCTAACGATGTACCTCGCGATGCCGCTTAAAAAAAACAGACTTTCTTCTCGTATTCAGCAATAAAAAGATGTTTCAAAATGAAAATTTGACACTTACAAAATCACAAGCCTAAAAAAAACATATTGTTTCTTCGGACAGTTACGCAGAATTTCTTTTTCTCTTTTAATATGAGCCACAAGATCATTTAAGTCGAAGAAAACAAAGAATATTGTATACAGAGTATTATTGCATGTTTTATTGAAATTTTCGCAATGTCCCTTCCAAGGGACATTGGGCTCTTAAGGGTTAATAGTTGAATTTGCCGTGTATTTCTCGTAGAATTCTTCTATCATACGTAATTGAGATGGGTTATCTACATCATTTTCACGACATTCTTCAATCATTTGTTGTTGTGCTGTCAATGTTTGTGGAAAACGATAAATAACTTCAATCAATAGCTGAAAGCATAGAGAGCTCACTTGTTCTTCATCGATATCTTGTAGAGGACGTTCGCTTGTATTACTGATACTAATTGCTATCAAAGTTTTCGAATACATTTTAACATCACTTTTCAAGCAAGCCATTAGAGAATTTTCGTCAATAAAAATTCCACGAATCTTTGTAAACGGTTTCGATCAAGTTTTATGTCGTGCTTTATCCGCACAGAATATATAGATTTGAAATACTTGTGATAAATTGTGCACAAGCGGAATAACCTTCTCTCCCAACGATCCAGATACAACAAGGAAGATGTGTTCATCGACATTTTTTCGGATATATTCGACGCATTCATATTGATCTATGAAAGTTTGAATACAATTCAAAGAAATTTGTAACGAAGATTGACGTTTGAACAATGTATTATGATCGCTGTTGATTGTTGCATCAAGCTGAATAATAATAAAATCTTCGATTTGAAGTGCTGAATCACTTTTATCTGATGATGTTGTTGTTGTCATTCAGTACTCACAATATCTACGTAATACCACACCTCGTTTAATACAAATTATTGAAAATGAGTACTGAATTACATACAAGTGAAAGTGACTATTTTCTCTTTTACACCCTTACCCCACAGATCGTGACAGACATAATGGTATGCTGCTTCTTTAGCGTTGGGTGTGGATGACGAGACGATCTATATCTACAAACATATCTAGAGTCACACGCAGATCTACATCTACCTACATCCCACGCTCTAGTAGCTACATATAACGATAGATAATTCTTCTGATTCATAATACGACGTGTCTTGAAAATAGGGGGATGAAGATTCTACTAGTGATATGTTTGATACATAGTAACATCCTCTCACGTATGTTCTGTCGAGAAAAAGATTTATTCTATTACAAGCTTCTAAGCCTCTATGCTCGAGAAAAATAGAGCATCGACTTTTTTAAAATTCAGTTTAAAATGAAGAATACCATAGACTCTGTTGTTTTGTATTTACGTATCAATATATTTTTCATGTGCGTATAGATAGAAAAGAAAAAGAACTGCTCTACCGTCGGCGAAGAAAAATATAGTTTTTTTTCTTTTTCATTAAATAACTATTATTCATGTTAAATAGACATAAAGTAGGAAAATGAAGGAAGAAAAATAGTAAAACTCAGTGTCTTAGTCACTTTCTTCCTAGCAATTAGTAACTTGGTTTTTAATTATACGGAATATATTGGTAGCAAGCATAATTAACATCATTTTTGCTCATGATGTGTACGATACACAAATGATACATATACAGGTGAGAGAGGAGTAGGCCAGAGCATTTGTATCAAGTATCGACAAGTTACATTTTATTCGGCATTAGTTACTAAAAAACCTAATCAGAAATCGGAAGTAGGGAATTCTTGCATACAGTATTTTATGTTGCAAACAAACGTATTGCATATTTACACTCAGTGGATATTTAGGGATGTGGGTGTCGGCATGAAATATGAATGCATTTGGATGTGGTTGTTAGTATTATGTTTATTCACACTCCAAAACTAAAAACAATAATATAATGAATCTGTATTTTCAAGGAAATCACCAACGTTGATCAAAAAACAAGGAATGAGCCCAATAAAAAAATATATAGTTCTGTAGAATAATTCATACTCTATCAAATGATATCACAATAAGAAATATCCTAGGTTTCGTATATAAATAAGACAAAGTGATGGAAACTATAAAGAATAATGTAATCAACCTATATGTCAACATTTTGATTTTAGGATTACAATACAAAATAAATAGAACATATGTGAACACAATGAAAGACTGAAATAGTACATTTCATATGTACAATGCTTCGATACAAAGCCAATATTCAATAATTTCGGATAAATAGTTGTCAATTATTTATACATTACAAGTCACCTTTGTCATTTTATTATTATTGAACGTTATCTAGGTGAAAGGAAATTCATTATCGCGTGTCAATAATAGTCATCACACAAAGAAGAACGGAAGACAACGGCATGAGAATGTCAACTATGATTGATCTTCATTATAGGATATATAGGAAGTTTAGATCGCATTGGGTCCCAGAATATATTCCTTAATGATGTTCTGTCTCATTATGGGAAAAATTCTATTTCTCTTGTAATTAAAAATAGTTATTTTCTAAAGTAGTAACAAGATGTTTTTCCTAAAAAGAAAATCTGGTTCGTCAGCACTTAGTCGCTCATAACGTCTTTTTGAATATGCCAAAACTTTTTTGAAAAACCGTTGATTTTTGAAATAACCACAGCAGAAAACTAGTCTGCAATAAAAACTAACTTTGAAAGAGCGATGTGAGTTTTCATAGTACAAGAGCATGACTTTTTATTCTGAAGCGTAGAGTTACGCTCAGCATCATATCATGTGTTACTGAAATTTAAAATTGCATTGCAACATAAAGTATAGAATTTGACAAAAAAAGGAGCATTTCCAGATAAATTTTTTAAAAAGCAGACTTTAATCTTCTGTAGAATAAAAACAGCTAAAATGTTGACATAATTCATAACACGTGATATCTCGGTATCTATTTCGCAGATACCATCATCAGACGAAAAATCACCAACATAAACTATTCATACATCTATATCAGATTAATTACAACCTAATATAGAAATAGATACCGAAATATCACGTGTTATGAATTATGGGTGGGTGTGGGTGTGGGTGATCATGTTGGTATCTGTGAATAATACACCGAAATCCACATTCATCCACACCATCAGAGTATATCATTCTCATACTTTGAAAAACACATCTATGACAAATATTGGGATCTATCCGATATCTCAAGCTTACATATGAGGTATAATTATTCTTATATAAACATAATTGATGATTTATAGTATGCCTTATGAGGTTTATCGTTTACATGTATTAGTTACTTTAAAATTTATGAATCAAATAATAAGAGTGTGGGTGTGAGTGCGTGAAGAGAGGATCCATACACATACCCCACATTATTGCCAACATTAAATATACAAACAATACGTTTTTTAACTTCATCATTATAATATTTCAATTGATTTTTTTTATGAAATTTTCATCTATAAGACCTAGCTTATTATTAGGAATACGTATAATCTGAAGATAATTATCATGATTTTATAGAAAAAAGATTATAGAAGAAATTTACTAATTTAAATAACAATTCTACGTCGAACTTCTTCATCTTTCAAATGTAAAATGTTGATAAGTTTAGTGATCAAGTAAAAATAACAAGATCATTATCGGTTGCATTCACATATCGTTTTATTATTGCTTGTAATTCTTTATGAAATTTCGCAATTTTTGATGCATGGAAGGTCCGGTGTTGTTCATCAAGCAGTGCTCGAAAAATATTAGACAACGTTCAGGTGTTGTATAATTAGCATAAATAACTATAGAAGAAAAATTTATTTCGTTATCATAATGAGAATAGAAGTAAACGTACTTTTTCGAGATACCTATGAAATATGAACACGAAGATTTTCATTGATAATATCTGACTTAATATATTAAAGAAATTGTTTTTCATCTATGTAATGTACATCAGGGTGTGGATGTTGGAAGACCAAAAAACCCACACCCACACTCTATTTACTGTCATGATTTTATTTTCTTTTAGAAAAAATAATCGACACTCGTTTCGAAGATTTATCAAATGAAATTTTTCTATGAAATATTTGAATATCTCGATTTTTATCATGTCTATGAAACTTTTTCAAATCTTAATAAACGATTTGAAACTCTTATTGTTGAATTCAAAACTTCCTATTAATATCAATATTTCATCTATATCAAAAACAAATTTTCAACATTATTATACATAGATATTATCATACCTTATCTATGTCGAGTGAAATCAATTTGTATAACAAATCTATTCGCCATTAATATCATTTTGTCATCACGAAATATTGTTTCAAAATTTACTCGACTTGAAACACTGATTCTTGATAATGTTGAATCTTTAGATCTTCGTAATCTTGAGTAATTAAATACTCTGCCAAGACTATCTTCATTAGTCATTATTAGTGATGGTTGTATTAAGGATCAAGCTGTAATTTATTATCAAATATTTCAATTACCAGTTTTAAGATACTGTAAGGTGTTACTAGGAATACATTATATGTCTATAAAATCTTTATTACCATTTGCTACCAATAAATATAGTTCTATCGAACATCTCGTAATCAAAAATAATCTTTATCTTGATACACTTTATGCTATTTTATTGTATGTACCCGAACTTCGTCGTTTATCGATTCCTGTTTTATTTGAATCTGTCAATAGACAAAGAATTAAGTTTCCAATTGCGTTGAACTATTTAACATATATATCTCTTCGATTAGGTTAATAAATTTTGATGCTTTCGAACGATTGGTCAATGGATATTTTTGTAATCTTCAAATCTTACGTCTTTCTACAAGTCATGATATAAGATATTTAGATGCTGAGTGATGGCAAAATTTGATATTGTCTCATATGCCAAAATTAAATATTTTTGACTTTCGATATAACTCTTATGCACATTCTGATGAAAATATTACATCTATTTATGATTTTCTGATTAAGAAATTTACTTCATCATTTTGAATTGAACGACAATATTTTTTTTTCTATTCAATATCCTTGTAGATCAAATCAAGATGATACCATTTTCTATTCAACAAAACTATATAAGTAAAATAAATAAATTTATTCATTATAAGTTATCTTTCATATTTTTACTTTTAGAAGAAAAATTTTATATTAGAAAGGATAATCAAAGAAAAAATAAACTGTGATGCTGTTTATCATATTAATATAAAAAATCTACGAGAAATGACAAATTGCATGAACTATTTTCCAAATATTACTAAACTACCTTTGTCTTGTAATCTAAATTCAATTTATGATTCAATCGGAAGCAGTTTAATACGTACTCTTCCCTTAAAACAGATTACAAAGTTTGTTATTGATTATGATACTTCTTCCATCATGCAATTGGTTCATTTAATAGATTTTACAGTGAATATTCATACATTAAAACTTGCATTACAATCTTTTCAGTTAGTATCTACGATGAATTCTGTTAGAAAATCTAATTTTGGAAGAAGAATGTTCATTGGAAAAAATTGAATTG